AATAAATTCCCTGTAACCTACCTTACCCTTCTATTGTCAACCAATGTCTGTTTTTTGTTTTTTTTTTTCTTTAAAGAGCGCTGTTTGTCGACATAATTGTATTTGTGCTGCTTTTTCATCTATGTTTTCTATTTTTATTTGTTTTCATTCTACTCATTATGCTCAATTAGTATTAAGCTTGTCATTTAAGTTTATCATGCCCGAAACGCTTTGCGTAATAGTGGCTTTAGGCATTGTATGTACTAGCTCTATCTATAAGTCAAACAATCCTTGTAAATATTTATTGTATGTATGTACCTTACCTAAATAAAATTGTATTGTATTGTATTGTCATACACTCAGGAATATTGGAAGATATTCTTGTGCTGCACCCAGATTTTGCCAGTGGAGGCTAATAGATCAGCATTAAGTATTTTGTTCTCTCCTAATTCCATGTATGACTGGCCATCCTGTGAGGTGAGGATGTTGGGCGAGCTTGTAGCTGGTTTTTGATCTACACTGTGTGGTCCTTTATACAGAATAGGGAAGCAGCACATTGCTGTGTATACCTAAACATGTTTAAAAATACATTGTTTGAGAGGAGTTTTGTAGAAACTGGTAAGAGTAATTATAATATAATGTTTCCATGATTCAGTGCTTACCTCTTGTGAAAATTGTTTAGAGTTGTTTAGTCAGAGTTGATTTGTTTTTTGTATTGAGGCTGGTATTTTCTAAATTGATTCCATGTACAGTATGTCTAACCATCCTGTGAGATGGGAGTATTAGATAAACTTATAGCTAGTTTTTTATCTACACTGTGTAATATTCATATAGAATAGGGTAGCAGCACATTGCTGTGTATACCTAATCTTCTTAATAAAAAAAATCAGTAATAAAGATTTTAAATTATAGTTTGTATTATTACAAATACAGTACTGTATTATCCTTATTAAATCATGTTGACCATGGATCATTAAGATCTCATGTTGATATGTAATACAAGTCATATTTCTTTTGAACTGCTAATCCATGCTAATCGTTCATTAAATTGTGCATTATGTCTCAATTTTTCACTTCCTTGGATATACTGTACAGTACAAAAAGATAGAATAAAAATAAACCAGTAATATTTCTTTCATTATATTTTTCATTTAAATAACTGCATCAATATTTTTACAGCTGACAGGATTTGTTTTCCCATACAGGTGCATTATTTGTTAAAAAAAATTTGGTTTATTGTTACACACAATGGTGCTACATAGCCTTCCCAGCTTGGTGCCTTCTTTTAATACTTACTGATTAAAAAATAAATAATAAATACATTTTATTCAGGAAAAGTACATATAGTTGATTTGCAAACATAATGTTGGATTTATAGGCAGAGCTAGTACATACAATACCTAAAGCCACTAATGCTCATAGCATTTCGGGCAAGGTGTGGGGGGAAAAAAACACAGACTAAAACTTAATAGTAATCGGGATTAGGTATAAATTGTGTTGAAAGAAGGAATAAAAAATACAAAAAGGGGGTTAACATAGCATAAATCAGCAATTGCACATGTTGGTGAACAGCGTTGTTTAAAAAATAGCAAGACATGGGTTGACATTTAGGAGGTAAGTTAGGTTACATGGAGTTAATTAGGCAGTACTTGGTTTAACTCTTAAACTGGTTGAGAGAGGTACAGCCTTTGACATGATTCGGGAGGTCATTCCACATTCTGGGTCCCTTGATTTGTAGAGCATTTCTAGTTTGGTTACACACAGCCAAATTGAGTAACAGGAAGAGGTCTTGGACACAAATTTGTTCCATGCTAAATGTAGAGGAATCAGCTGAGTATTCCTCAAATAAAATAAGTTGCCTCAGCTTATAAGGTAAATAAAATAAGCATTTCTCAAATAAGTAGCTGCCTCACCTCACTGCCTTACTGCTACATAGCCTTCCCGGCATGGTGCCTTCTTTTGATAATTACTTGTTCCACACCCAAATTGTATAACAGGAAGAGGTCTTGGACCCCTACTTCCCTCTCTCTTTTTTAATAGTCTATATAGTCATAATTATAGCTTTAAGTATTCAATGAATAAAGTTTTTGACATTTTTACCCTTTTCCTTACCTAACATCATTTGTGCAGCATATTTTTATTTTATGTCTCACCCAGATTTAATTTCAAAATAAAACCAAACTAAATAAATTAGAAATGGGTATGTATAGCTAAGGTACACCCTTACTACTAGGTGAACAGGGGCATTTGGTGATAGTAAATGATCCCATCAGGCAGGGCTCATCACCTTCTCTCATATTTCATGTTCACCAGTGTTTATTTACTTAATAACTACTGGTATAATATCTTGCTATTATAAAACTAATTCTACTATCATCAAACACATATTTACTTCAAGTTTCAAGCAGAGAATGCATATATAACTAACACGAAGGACTACTCTTCACTAGATTCACCAGCTATAATATTTTGGTCATGTTCCAATATCATAAATCGATCCCAGTGTTATGTAGAGAAAAAATGACTTATATCCAGTTTACATAAAGCTACGAGTGGTCGAAACCACACTTAAATCCCGGAATGAACTTACGAGGGTTTTTCCACTTAGGGTAGTTAATTGAATACGGACGTAGCCGCCACGAAGGCGCTAAGACGGAAAACGCTCTTAGCTAAGAGGAAAAACCTTCGTAAGTACCTTCCTGAATCCGGCCCCTGGCCCTTTCGCAATTTCTGTTGAACCAATCCTGTTTCCTAGTTCTGCATCTTTGTTTTGGTATAAATTTTTTTGTGCCTTTATCATATATTTCACAAAACTTGACATACATCTCTTTCACTTCCTTGCCTAGCAACAAGTCTGTCCAATTATACTCATTAAAAAAATTTCTAAGGTCACCATAATGTCCTCTCCTGAAGTCAAGTTTTTCAACTGCTTCAACCTCCTTATTTTCTTCCAGATTATAACGCATTGCATACTTTATTCCCAATAAGACATGGTCATTTTTACCCAAGGGAGGAAAGTACTGAATGTCAAATATCTCTTCCTCCTTCCTGGTAAATATGAAATCTAGCATAGCATAGCATAGCACAGCAGCGTGTGTGCGTGTGTGTGTACGCACCCCAGAAATAACACGCCTTCCAAACATTAACACCTCTCCTCCTGCCCCCTTCCTCACTGTCTTCCATACACCAACAAAAGTAATCAGTAAAGGTAAGATATACTTGAACATACTGTAGTACAAAATATTAGTAGTAGTATGTATAAAATTTATTTTTAAATTAATATTTTTGGGGGTTGCAGAACAAATTAATTATATTTACATTATTTCTTCCAGGAAAATTTGTTTCGGTTTTCGAACCATCTCTGGGAACAGAATAAATTAAAAAACGATGGTATCATTTTGATATGACATGAAATTCATCATAAACTGGACTTCATAGCCCCACACCCTCACCCATAACGGAGCCCAACAGGGAAAGGTATCCGCATATGGGCAACCTCAGGGGTAATTTACAGTACTGTATATGTGGGTCACCACTGAAGGGTCTACATAGTATCCCAGGGATCAATAAGGATACTATTTCCGCAATGCCCACCTGACCAAACATCTAACTAGGTGGGCTAACTAGATAACCCGATTAGTTCAGACAGGTTGCATCGAACCTCCCATTTTACCCCCATCCCCCTACCAGAGAAATGAGTTACTCACTAGGGGCCACAGCCACTGGATAAGCTTTACTACCATATGAAGGAACATAGGGTAATGTACAGGTCTCCATTCACAGCAGAAACATGGAAGTGTACAGTTCTGCTAATCCGTTCCCAGAGACGGATCGTCAGTCGAAATATCGTAAGTCGAAGCGATTTTTCCCATAAGAAATAAAGGGAATTGAATTAATCCATTCTCCACCCATCAAAATATTAACATACAAATACATTTTATACTGAATACAATTTTTTTTCTAACTACAATACAGTACCTAAGTTTATCTTACCTGTATGATATCATTTTGGTATTATGATGGTATTATGCCATCATTCTCTTGATGGCATATGGAAGATGGTGATGAGGGGGGGGGGGGGGAGGAGAGTTGTTACTGTTTGGAAGGGGAGTCCCCTTCCATTATCACATCAGGCAGTGATGTTTTCTCTGGGGTACTCTCTCTCTCTCCTACATTTTGCCTGAATACCACTAGGACCTGGTTGTGGTTCACTGCTTGTCTGTCTCACTACAAATTTGTCAAGAGACATTTGTTTTTCCCTTCGTTTTAACATTTGTCTGTAATGATGCATCACTTTAGCACCCATAATGTCCTTTTTCTTAGCCAGTATGGTGTATATGGTTGACCGAGATTTGTTGTACTGCCTAGCCAGTTCAACAACCCACACACCATCTTCATATTTATGAATGATCTCTTGTTTCTGCTCTATGGTCATTCTTACATGGGATCTCATATGTTGAGCCTTACCACCGACTTTCCTGGGACTCATGGTGTGATATATAATAATTACTTTAATGTTCAAAATGCAAAAAATCTCCACAAACGCGGAATTTCTTATAGGTGCGAGTGTTACTAAGTGGGAAGCTGTAGTAAACTGAGGAAGGTCGGACCGCGTGACCGGGAACCACGCGCTTGGTCGACCCGAACGAGTACCAACAAATATTGTAAGTCGACAACACCATCGGATGTCGAGTTGCATTTTTTGATGAAATTTACATTGTAACTCGAAATTATAGTAAGTCGGGGCAATCGTAAGTTGAGGTTCCACCGTATAAACATTTTCACAAATAATATTATTATAGCTCATCCAACCAATATTTTTTTTGCCTTACTCTATTCTGCCTTACTAAGTACTGTACTACCATATTGTATCTGTTTGCTTTGCATTTTTAATTGTTTTAATTTCAATTTTAAAATTATTGCATAGTTTTAAATTACATTATATCCTTATATAGATTTAGTCTTTGTCAATATTCATTTAAACTATACTGGTTTACTTGTCTGGATAATAAAAGCTAATAAATGGTCCTGTTCTAATAATTACACACAATCATAACAATTAGATATGGGAAGTGAGGGAGATAACATAAGGAAACGTTTAAGGATACAACATAAGAGATATTGTCAACATAACAAAAGAAATGCATATTGTACATATGAACAAATTATGCTTTTCCCTGTTCCAGGAGATGTATGCCAAAGAGAATAACAATAAGACAACTGAAAACTTTTACATGTTTTGTAAAAAAATTTATTAATGAATATATGACAGTTTTCAATAACTGTTATTCTATGTCTTCAGGTCTAACAGGATGTGTTAGTGGGACAACCGACTTCTGTTGTACATCTCGAGATAATGCCTTCCTCATGTCTGGAATAAAAAGAAAAGCATATTACTAGATGATATTAATTCCAGATGATATAAGCTGTAAGTACTGTACAGCAGAATGTACAGTATTTGTAAACATTAAGAGTGCAGACTATAGAGAACAGGATATTGTTGCTAAGTCTGCACTACCAGACACACTTTAAAACTTAAACTTTTATAAATACTGATACATTTTTCAAGAATTTTACAAGGGATGCATATCAAGTGACACTGGTCTACAGCACAGTACTGTATTGTAATACGTGTTTGTCTTCTTTCTTGAATATTAGGACTACTTTTGCTCTTATACAAATATACACTATTGTGTATTGATTTCATTCACTTGGATCTCTTGAGAAATTACACTGTGGCCTGAGTATGCATGTATCATATTTTAACATTTGGTGATAACCAAGAAGAGCTACTGAGCATGCGAGTGATCGATACCCATTTTCAGCCATGGAGTCGAGTCATCAAAAAGACTGTCGACCAAAAATGTAAAATGCCACAAAGCATAATTACCAAGTGCAAAAAATATCAGACCTCAACTTCATGAAAGAGTGCAACCTTCTTTACCTGGACCAGTTGGTGCTTCTTTGTGTTAAGATTACTGAAAATCTGGATAATTAAAGAAAAAAACCAGTGTTGAATGTAATGAAACGCCATTTTCTGGGCGAGTCTCGGAAGTTTCCCGGAACTATCCAGGCTGAATGGATATGTATATCTTTCTGGCATCAGTCAATGCATGGAGTTCTTGCCTACCGGGGACCACGAGCCAGAACCTGGCCCCCCTCTAGAGGCACGAGGAGTAATGGCTTATAGAGACCCCCCCTGTGTGTTGGGAGCATTCTATGTCTGCTATCGATCAGGAGAGGCACCCATAAAGGTAGGCGCCCCAAAACAAACCACTATTCTGGTAAAAGTATTGCAACTGAAAGCCAAACAGGTGGACAGAACTCCCCAAACGAAAATTAGCAAACTAGCATGACGTTCCCAGCAGATGGGAACGATCTCAGTGAGATAGCTTTACGAAGCAACCAAGGTGCTCCTCCCATAAATTATTTATATAACTAGTATACTTACCTAACTACCAACAATGGAAGTGGCTGCTCTCTAGGCTCCATAACATTGACCCCAAAAATATTTAGGTAAATAAGTATTGCATCTATTGATTAGAGGACTGGCAACTTTGCCCTAATATTAAAGAACATGGATGGATTTCTTACCATAAGCATCTTCATCCGGGTCTCCTGAATAATATTGCAAAACTGTGCGATAAACAATATAGCCCAACTTCTTGTACATGGTAATGGCCACTAAGTTGCTGACTCGTACAAATAGGTCTACAAAGTAACAACGCTTTCTGTCAAGAAGAAAAACAAAAATTGACAAACACTTTCATATAATGGTCGAGCACTACTACATCTATAAGCAAGTGAAACAAATATGACTGATTTATTCCAATCTATTAACATTATATATAGCTGCACAATGATTGAACATTAATTGAACACAATTTTTGTAAAATGCAATACAAAACTGTCTCTATTGAAGTGAATTCTACCATAGGTTACTTTAAATGTATGAAGTAAAGTAGAAACTAGCATTTACATATACTTAACTTTTAAAAGAACTTAAAACATTGAAACATTACATCATAAGATTTAATGAGCCAAGATATTTGTCTAAGTAAATTTTGTGTGTAGCAATCATGAGGAAAAATGTGGATTATTTATCTCAAATTCAAAGTTATGACATAATTGATATCATTTGATCAAATCAGAAAAACTAATGCCACAAACTACAGTACTGTAATTATACTTATTTATGGATACCATAAATCTAAAAATTATATCTGATGAACTGCCCCTTATAATAATTAAATGTCTAGGAGAAATCTCATGTGACTAACACTACTATACTTCCATGGTCTATTATATTCTGTAGTTTAAAACATTCTATTATATGAAAGTTAACTGTAAACATAAAAACATTAATATCACTTTTCCGGCATATAAAGAACCACACACTTTTCTGAGATGTCTTCCAGGATGGCCATTAGCTGCTTAGCAAGACCCAGCCGTCGATATTCTGGAGCAACAGTTAGAGCTGTAACGTGACCATGCCAGTTCTCACCATGACCTTCAGCTTTACCCATTACTGTATAGAGAAACTGCAATTAATTACTGTCCTACTGATGCCATTAGCACCAAAAAGAATAGTTACAGACAGCCAAGTGCTTTACAAACACTTTTTTCCTTCTGAATATGCCTGTTTCCCAATTTAGGTTTGTTAGAATAAAATTGTTTGAATAACTGGTGGGGCAGGCAGCCTGTATAAAAATATGTAATACGGATGGAACTAGTTTGCCCAGTGACAGTACACAGAGCCACTTGAGCAGTATTCATACACTAATTGATGGCTCAGAAGCTTTAAACTCTGCCATGATATTAGGTACATTAGAGTACACAATGAAAGGCAGTCTGCCGAGATTACCTCATCACCAATAATTTCCACTTCAGTCAACCCAACAGGATCAGCATCCACCACCACCTCTTCTACCTAAATAACAATGCTCCATCAACTATAATCCTCAAGTTAACAAGAGGATCAGAACTTCTCATATTGGTGAGTACAAACAAAATATTGTCGAATTTTTGCAATAAAATTGTAAAAAAAATTCCCTAGCTTTTCGGGATGATGAACCACTTGTCAAAACACAAGAGCTTCCCAAGGGGTTCAGAAAGCATGTGGCTATCTGTATGCACAACTCTTCAAGAATAATTTCCACATTAAATGAATGCAATGAGTTTGAAAGATGGAAAAATTATTCATTCTTCACACATCTTGATTAACCCTTGTGTTGCTCAGGGCTAATTAGCATTTGTCACCCACAGGCACATACCAAAAAAAAAAAAAAAAAAATAGCGTTGAATGTAATGAAACGCCATTTTCTGGGTGAGACCCAGATGCCCCCCGGAGCTATACCAAGCTGATATGCTAATGTCAGACTTTGGCATCAGTCATGTGTATGGAGTTCTTAGGGCCTACCGAGGACTATGACCAGAACCTGGCCCCCTCAGAGAGGCAAGGGGAGCAATGGCCTATAGAAACCCCCGTGTGGTTGGAAGCATTCTATGTCAGCAATTATGTGAAGCAATTCACATAAGAATAGAACAACCTACCATGAACACCCAAATCACGGAACTATTTACTCTACCCACCATGAGAGTAAGGACAAGACCAGAACATAACGATGCCAACACAGAAGACAATGTCCAACATAACAGGCCAATTACACTGGATTAATCTTTGTATTTAGATAAGAGCTTCCTCGTATGGGCCAATAAGCCTTCTGCAGTTACCTCTATTCTTATGTTTCACCCCACATTTATCCCTTATGTATCCCCCCATGTTTTTACCTTTATTGTCTTATCACCTGACCCAGTGCGGGTATAAAATCAACCAGCATTGTAAGATCTCTTCACTTGAGAATGAACCATGGAGGTTCGAAACGTTGTGCAAATTGTATAAATAAGTGTAATACATTCTATAGCAAATCACTTCTTTTCTTCACCTGAAAAGTACGAAAATGAGTTTTGGAGAACTCCTATTTCAACTAAGCCCTGATGCTAAGAAAATAGTTAGAGGGATAGAAGCCCTAAACCAGAAAATAATAAATACAGAATATGCGGTCATATTCAATGAAACAAACATATACATATATATATATATATATATATATATATATATATATATATATATATATATATATATATATATATATATATATATATATATATATATATATATATATATATATATATATATATATATATATATATATATATATATATATATATATATATATATATATATATATATATATATATATAAAAACGCATTAACACTTGACAAATTTGTAGCGAGACAAACAAGCACTGAACCACAACCAGGTCCTAGTGGTATGCAAGCAAAACGTGCCAGGGAGTGCACACCAGAAAGGTCCTCACTGCATGATGTTATAATGGAAGGGGATGTTTGGAAGGGGATGTTTGGAAGAGGGACTCCCCTTCCAAACAGTAACAACTCTCCTCCTCCCCCCTCATCACCATCTTCCATACGCCATCAAGAGCCCTCCTGAAAGGTAAGATCAACTTAGGTACTGTATTGTAGTTAAAAAAAAACATTGTATTCAGTATAAAATGTATTTGTATGTTAATATTTTGGAGGGTGGGAAATGGATTAATTCAATTCCCTTTATTTCTTATGGGAACATTCGCTTCGACTTGCGATATTTCGAGTTACGATCTGTCTCTGCGAATGAATTAGCATCGTAAGTTGCGGTCCCATTGTATATATACATATATACAATGAATGTATGTATGTATGTGTGTGTGTGTGTGTGATATATATATATATTTTTTTTTTTTTTTTTTTTTTTAAACCTAGAAGGGGTACCACCTCTGGTGCAAGTGTAGGGACCCATAGCCTCAGAGAAGAAAATAAAGAGTACTCAGAGAAGACCTTGTGGATCCTCACTGAACACTTTGATATTTTCTTCTCCTACCACCCCTATTCTTTTGGTATGTGTGTATATTTATCTAACTTTATTTGAAAATGTCATTACACCAAAAAAGTTACAATATTGATTACATGCAGGGTGCAAGGCTGCTTGTCACAAGTTGTACAGCTCTTCCAGCTCCTCAGACGGCGGGCAGGAACCATGGATGCAGTGAGCATTTCCTCTCTGGATTGCCACACTAAGGCGCTGAAAAAGAAAACTGGCAGCTCTAGGGTCTCTAGTTGTTTCTATTAGCTTAGACCCCAACTCCTTCAAAAAGCTAGCAGCACTTTTACCCCAGGCACCAAGTGTCTCTGAAGCAATGGGGACAAAATTGTAGTGGTGCTCAAGGTCTCTGTATTTACGTGACTTGGCCGCTTCCTGGTGATTGGCAGCTCCTCCTGCTTGTGTAGCACTGAAGTCAACATAGGTATTGGCTAAAGTTGAAACGCAAGTGTAGTCCCACACCAACTGTCTACCATTCTTCCAGGGGTTCACCGTGATTCCGTCTGGGCGACCGACAGGCTCATCAGAGTTGCGGGACATTAGGTAACGGGGCTCTCTCTCTGCTGGACAACCGGCTGTGGTAAGGCTTCTCTTAATAATGTCATTGACCTCGCCGTGTCTTGCATGCCATCCTCCTGTCCTTTGGCAGAGAAGGCCATGCCGTCCGTATCTGTCGGCCTCTGCCTCGCCGCAAATACACCTGTATTTGGTGTGGATTGGGGCAGCGAGGCGGAGAGCCACGGCAATTCGGAGGGCCTGCGGTGTGAGACGGGTGCCGGTTGCTGACATTGGGGTTGCTAATAGGAAATCACCTGCATGGGGAGCTGCTACAGCTCTAAGTCGGGCAGTGTCATGTGGTGTTGTCGCAGCTTCTAGCAAAGTCGCAGCTTCTTGGTCGGCAATGGGGCGATCCCAGCTGGATTGCTTATGGGCTTCAGAAGGCGGTGGTTGGGGTGCTGGTCCTGCGAGAGAGACCCATTTGGTTGTGCAGTCTGTGAAGCTGGGATCATGTACCCCTGCCTGTTGAACTAGGTGCTCAGGTAGGATTTCCTTCACCAAGTTGTCAGACCCCACTGAAGAGGACAGGAACGCTGGTACAGCAATTTGTGTTGCTGTGCACATGCCAAGGCCCCCGAGTCTATTATATATATATATATATATATATATATATATATATATATATATATATATATATATATATATATATATATATATATATATATATATATATATATATATATATATATATATATATATATATATATATATTATAGAATGTTCATTGAGGTTTGAGAGTACATAGCATGGATGTTTTTACATTCTTGCAAAACTACAAACATGCATAGCGTTTCTGGCAGAAAAGTGTATAATAATGTACAGTATATAATAAAACATAGCAAAGAATGTTTTGTACAATTAATATCGAAATGCAAAAGGAAAATTTACACAAGAAACAATTAATCTCGTCAGATTGTGGAATGACCTTCCCAACCATGTTAAAGACTGTACCTCTCTCAACCAGTTTAAGATAAAAACGAAGCTATACCTAATAAATTCCCTGTAACCTACCTTACCCCTCTATTATCAACCAATGTCTGTTTTTTTTTAAAGAGCGCTGTTTGTCGACAGAATTGTATTTGTGCTGCTTTTTCAGCTATGTTTTCATTTCATGTTTTCATTTTACTCTTTATGCTCAATTAGTATTAAGCTTTAGTCATTTAAGTTTTTCATTCCCGAAACGCTTTGCGTAATAGTGGCTTTAGGCATTGTATGTACTAGCTCTATCTATAAGTCCACCAATCTTTGTAAAAATTTCTTGTATGTATGTACCTTACCTAAATAAACATTTATTTATTTTATAAAAAAATTTTATTTTTCAAACAGGGCCCCTAGAGAAGTCCTCCTACATCATCACTAGTCTTTAAACAAATTTAACCTATCTTAACCTATTTTAGATAACCCCTACCAATCTTACCCTAAGCTAAATTATCTTAACTTTAATTATTCCTATACTAACCAAAAATAAAATATTAGGTAATATAAATAGTTTTAAATGTAACAATATAGAAATCATAAAAATGTATATAAATTGGAGAAGTTAGATCCAGGAAAAGCTTGGGTAAATACTGTATGGGTTTGAAGATAAGAATTATGGAAACTACACGTCTATTGTCCCATGTGAGGCAGCTCTTATTTATATCTACCAAAACTCATTCATATACATGTCTAACCTAAGCCTAAAGCAATCAAGTGATCATATGTCTATGTTACTAGGTAATCCACTTCACAAATCAACAAACTTGCTTCCAAACTAGTATTTACCAGGATCCTTCCTATATCTAAACTTAAACAATTCATATCCAACGTTTCATATTTTATTTTGTGTTGATATACTTTGCACCTTTTTTACGTAACCCTGTTGTTAATTTATGGAATAAATTAGCGGGTAATACAAGATGTTTGATCGGTGAATTGTTTCAACCGTAGATCACAGATAATCATCGATTAGCAAGTCATAGTACAGGGGTAAGATGCGCAGCTGGACTTCTTTGATCACTGGTTCGAGTCACTGCATTGGTTAAACTTATTAGAAACAAAGCTGCCAAAGAAACATAAGAAAATTCACTTTCGCAAACAGAGTGGTAGACGGTTGGAAAAAGTTAAGTGAGCAGGTAGTAGAGACCAAAACCATCAATACTTTCAAAGCTTTATACAACAGTGCCGGGAAGACGGGACACCACAAGCGTAGCTCTCATCCTGTAACTACACTTAGGTAATTATATATATGAGTTTGGGTGGATAAAAAGAGGTGCTGTCTCGTATAGGCCAATAGGCCTTCTGCAATTTATGTTATTTTTTATGTTGTATAGGGAAGAAATGTATATATTCTATGTGAGGTATACTTACCAGGTTGCTTCTTGGGATGATCTTGGATACTGTAAATACTGAACTGTTTTCAAAACAAAGCGAGCAACTTACTGTAGCCCATGATGACTCCACTGGGAGACTCAGCCACCTGGAAATATTCCGGCCAGTGTGCCAAGTACTGGAGATAGAAAGACAGTCCATACGTCTCTGTCAGCGGGTCGAGGTTAACATTGTTGAAATGAAACATGTCTTCACACCGGAAAGGTCTTAAGGTAGTCATGTCTGAAAGCCTCTCCTTCTTGTTGGTGATTGAGGGGCGACGACAAATTCTCCTTCTTTATGGTACGTGCAGCTGGGGTGAAGGTGGTGGTGTTGTTATAGGGGGCGGCTACAGCACAGGGCCGAGAGCACTCCTGCCTGGGACAACCCGGCCTTGTTGTTCATAGCCCCACGTGCCTATATCATTTTAATAATAATTCATTATTTATTTATTTTGGTAGTAGTCTTTCTTGTAGACATAAAGGTTATTAATACTTGAATTGTTATATTACTTAAATTATTAATTGAAAAGTATTACTTGAAAATTATATTACTTGAATTATTAATTACTTGAATTGAAATAAATAAATAAATAAATAAATGTTTATTTTGGTAAGGTTGTAACTTGCTTGCTTGGGTTGTAACTAAATGTGACTCGCAGTCTCCGTGGTGTAGTGGTAAGACACTCGCCTGGCGTTCCGCGAGCGCTATGTCATGGGTTCGTATCGACAAAAGAGAATGGGAAGCTGAGCCGCATGGTGACCTGACCCCCAGGGGAATTCGCGGTGGAAATAACCAACGCTTTGTTCATAATTTTGTATAATGAACCATCCTATAGTATTCAGTAAATTAGAGAAAATTAGCCTTTATTCATTTTGCATTAAAATTGGATTGTATAATAGTACTGGATACAATATCAAGAGTATTCTAATTATTGAGTTTAAGTCACCATCAGTGACGTCACGAATCAGATCTAACTTTTGAGGCGGAGTGACCGGCGGTCATAGGTCAGCAGGGTTGACATGTCTAATATTTCTCAAAGTTTTAATAACCATTTTTGTGATCGGGAACAGCTCTGCCGTTAGATGTTTGTAATTTAATTCAGTAAAATAATTCAACCAGTCTGGATCAATTCAGTATAACAGAGGATAATTGTTATAACTTAACCGTGCTAAAGTAACTGGGTAAGCGATGCGGAACAATACAAGGTTCTAGTCTGGGCTAGGCCAGACGAGGACAAGTCAGTGTGGTCACGGAAGCAGCTAGGAGAGGTCAAACATCTTACCTCTCCCCAAGAACAGGCCCAACACCTAGAACTGTGGTCGCCCAAGGTATAGTTGCTATTGTTAAGTATAGAAATAGTCTCATTTGCCACTCAGGTCAAGTAGGGAGTGTTAAATTGATAGGGAGTGAACATATTTAGATTTTGTTTTAGTTTTCGTTTAATAAATTAATTTGTTATTAATTTGCATTTTATTGTTTCCATGTGTTTTGTGTGTATACTTGTCCTGGTCACGTGGTCCACACGAGGCAGAGTTGCATTGGGCGCCGATTCTAACATCGAATCGGAATTATCATTACCGTGTAATTTATTCCACACTCAAGGTCATCGTTTATAGTGGGGATCAAGCCCCTAGGTTGATTAATTAGCGTGATCGATCCAGACCTCGATCATTGCTCTTGTATTACTGGTCTGGTGGTGGCAGCAGAGGTGACTCTAGGGTTTTGTTCAGAGCTTAGGTCACGTCATACTGGGTGTAGAATCCTAAGTCGGTCAATCGTCTTAGGACCACGTGGCGTGGAGTTGGCTTTGTTAGAAGTTTTGGAGTCCCTTGGTAGAGAATAATAAGTAAGAATACGGGTAGAGGGAGTAGAGGAAGAGGAAGGAAAGAGAGAGGAACCCAAACCCGTGTTACACCACTACCGCCCACAAGATGGGTATGGGGTGCATAATAAATGAACTTAACTAACTTGTAAGGTACATACATACAAAAGATTTTACAAAGCTTGATGGATTTATAGATAGAGCTAGTACATACAATGCCTAAAGCCACTATTACTCAATGAGTGTGGAGCGCGTCTAAGTAACTGGGCCTCCACTCTTCAAACAGAATTGGTTGCCATAATCCTTGCACTCGAGCGCGTATATGAATCCAAAGTTGACACGCTAATTGTAAGTGACTCCTTGTCATCCTTGACTGCCCTCAGCTCCCCAAGGCATAACTGTGACGTGCTTATCTCTGAAGCTAGACACAAATATAGTGAAATAATCAATGATGGAGTTTCTCTCCTGTGGATTCCTTCCCATATTGGTCTCCGAATGCATGATAGAACTGATGAGCTAGCCAAGACATTTGCTCGTAAAGAGGGAATTGATTACCAACATGGACTGCCTTTGAGCAGCCTGAGAGCAGCAATATCCCAGGAACATCAACTAAATTTCGGAGACTTGAGGCAAAGTCAAATTCACACCAGTTACTCCATCTATCATCATTCTATTATGCATGAAGAACCGCACGTCTATGGGTCATCCAATAATGTTAGCAGACTTCTAGATGTTACCACGGCTAGGCTTAGGCTCGGCTACAAGTACCTCTGGGAGTTTGTAACATCTGCTGATGTAGATTTGACTAAATGTAAACTCTGTCAGCAGAACTATTCGCATACTTTGCGTCATTATATAATGGAATGTGAAAAAATTGCGGAATTTAGAGATAACACCATCAATAGTGTCCAAGAAATGTGTAAGTACTTCATTCATAATGATGTGCTGCCCGAAATTTTAGCGAAGTATCCAAAATTTGCTTACTGTAGGTGCAGCCTGCACATGACTGTAAAGCTGCCGCCCAGTTGGGTGGGTGTGGAGCAAGACTAGTAACTGTGTGACTCACTATAGATGTAAAGTGCCTTGTATAGTGACTGTTGTGAGCCTCTTGTAATGTCACTTGTGACACCTCTTTGTGTCACTTGTGACACAAAGATTATTGATGTGTGTATTTGTGTGGGTGATTAGATATGTATGTGTATGTATATGTGTATACGTATATATATATGTACATGTATGTATGAGGGTGTGTACATGTGTAAACAACATTGATAATTTTGTAACTAGCGTCAAACATTGTTATTTGCTTAGCTAAACGAACTAGAGGGTTCAGTTCCTGAACCGATTATGTGCCTCTGTAATCCTTTACACCACCGCCCACGGGATGGGTATGGGGTGCATTATAAAGAAAGATTTCAATTTCTTTCTTTATTATGCACCCCATAATGCTGAAGTTGAGTCTCTTGTCTAAGTATAGGCCAAGGAACTTTCCATCATTTTTATTCTGATGTTAACATTGTCTATCTGAAGCTAAATTGAATTTGTTGATTTGCTTCCAAATAAAATGTAGTAGGCTTTTCTATGTTTAGTGTGAGTTTGTTGGTTGACATCCATAAGTGGAATTTTTTTAGTTCATTGTTTACAACATTATTTAGTGTGTGTGGGTTGGGGTCTGAATTGATGAGGGTAGTATCGTCAGCAATTAGTATAGGTTTAAATTAATATCTACATAATAAAGAGTGGCATCTGCTGACGAAATCTTTTTCGCCATCTTAACGCTGCAAGCGTCGCTTTTATTATTATTATTATTATTAATACATGAGGTACATCTGCACTTGTGCAGCTACTCTAGACTATATGAAGGGGAGTGATGCTAAAAAATCCCCATCACACAGGATGGTTAGTCATACAGAGGCATGTGATAGGCAGTCTGCACTGACAGACTCTGGGTTCGTTATGAGGATATCATCATAAACACAAGAGTGAATAAGGCAGCAGTGGTACTAAAAGTCTCCATCTCGCAGGATGGTTAGTCATACAGGGTCATATGTTTAGTAGCCAGCAATGACAAATTTTGGGTACACTGTGAGGATATCTTCAAGAATACAATAGTGAATAAAGTAATTGCAAAGCTCCAGGTACCTCATGCCAACTGGTCTGAAAGGTCTAATAACTGGGCATTCGGTGATGTAGTGTGGGAGATCATGCCGCAGTTCCTGCTCACAGAGTTTGCAACTGGAGTGCTCAGGATTGGTAGATCCGTCACCTGCAGCCACCTGCCACAGGTAACGGTAACCCAACCTGATCCTGGCAACCACTGTGTCGCACAGTTTGGTAGACGTTTTGTGCTGCCCATAGATATAGTTTTCAGATTTAAACAAATCATAGCTTTTTATACTGGTGCTTTCAGGTCGTTGGGAGTCAGAAATTTCTTTCCTATCAGACCTGAGTTTTTGGATCAATACAGTTTTGACAGTAGAGATGGGGATACCTAGATCTAATTCAACTTCATCTTTGTTACACGCGAATTTGACTGCAATGTCTGTCTCATTATGATGAGTTATATTTATGTGTGACCTAATCGCTGCTCTGTGCAGCGATTAGGTCATTTATAATTGGTAGTATGAGGTTCTTGCTGTCGATCTTCCAGGAAAAGTTTTCGATTGCTTGAAGAGCAGACTTTGAATCACAAAATATTATTCCTCCTGGATAAGCACCTCCAAAGGATACCTGATCAACCAGGCTGTGACTCATACGTCAGGCTGCGAGCAGCCGCGTCCAACAGCCTGGTTGATCAGTCCGGCAACCAGGACCTAGATTCAGGAAGCTCTGTGTATTTCTTCGTAAGTGGGTTTGCTACGAAGGTTCCTAAGTGCGCCCTAAGAAGATGCTTAGGTGCGATTCAATAAGGTATACTTAGGAAGAAAATTGTTGGTTCACCTGCGTGCCGATAGAGGTCACTACTGTGTTTCGTTTGGCCAATCAGAGAGCAGCAACATTCTTCATATTGAAGATTTAGCGCTGGCTTATCGGAGCTCTACTGCCTCCTATTTACGTCGAATTTTCTTATAAAATTAGTATATTTCGAAGTAAAACAATGTTTTTTCAACTTCTACAGCCAGCACCGACATTGTAGTAAACAAATATGTTACATTTGTTGTTTACCTACGTAATTCTAAGAGATACTGTGTAGCTGTCCTTGTTGCTCAGAAGATGTGCTGACAATTATTGTATATATTTACTGAATTTACCCAAGGGCCACTAACTATCTAGTGACCTCGAAGAGGACAGAAAGCCGGCGGCTTGTTAAAGGGCCCGCCAATTGTCTTAATGATATTTTTTAGCTGGAATTTGGCATTTACGGTTTCAGCGGGTAGGCGGTTCCATGGGTTTATATAATAATAATAATAATAATAATAATAATATAATAATAATAATAATAATAATAATAATAATTTTTATTTAGGCAAAGGTACATACATAAAGAGATTTTACAAAGTTTGTTGGCTTTATAGATAGAGCTAGTACATACAATGCCTAAAGCCACTATTACGCAAAGCGTTTCGGGCAGGAAAAAACACTACTGACTA